TCTGTTGCCGCTGAGGAGGATAGCCGTGAAGCTGGCAGCCTCCAACTGGGTGGTGAGCCAGAGGAAGTAAACCCCCCGCGCAGTCGCCAGACGCGGGAGTCTCATGGTGCTATCCAGCCACCTTTGCAGCAGGATACTGCGGACAATTCAACTGTTGCATCTCCTGTCTCTGCGACTAGCCATCAATTCCAAGGCTTGAACCTCGCTGGACGAAGCTTGACTCCCTTGCAGCAACAGCAGTTGATGCTACTCAAGTCTGCCGGTAATCAACAAGCTGGCTTGGCTGACCCTCTCAGCTCTGCCGCTCTGGAGCAAGCCGCACAAGTCCGCCAAGGCCTTGTGCACAATCAGATGGCACAGTTCAATGCGCTGCAGGCAGCACAGCACCGACAGTCTTCTCGATTTTCATTCACCAATGAGGCCGGTTCTAAGAATATGCCTAATGCACGCATGCTGGGCCAAATGCAATCTTCATCGCCCAACCCTCTTTCTGCTCCAAGCCCTCAACATGGTCTTGCAGCAAGCGGTTTTTATGCCAGTGGCGTACAGGGTCCCCCGCCGGGACTAAAGACAGCCGGTACCCCGCCGATCAGTGGTGGCGGAATGTTCGCCCAGGGACATGGCTTCACATCTGGGCTTGGTGGTAATGGAGGAAAGCAAGATCCAACTCCGGAGCTGATGCGCGAGCTACTCCGTGGACGAACTGGTACGAATGTTAGTGGTTTACAGGGCCAGGAGGCCACTAAGCGTGAGTTTATGTTTCCTTTTCTTCAACAGCACAATACCCCGCCCCCCATGACTCCTGTCAATGGCCTTCTCAGCTCCTTCTATGGGCCCCAAGCGGGTTTGATGCCTGATTCTGGTGGCCCACAGAAGCAGAAGAAGAAGGGGAAGAAGCACAGACACGCTAACACTTCCTCCGGTGGAGGTGGTGTAGTAGATCTTGCGGACCCGAGCATTTTGCAGGCGAGGATGCATCAAGTCGGTGCGAATGCTACTGCTGGGCAAGCGTTGTACGGGAGTCAGGGTCAAGGTGGGTACAACCCCTCCATGGTGTATGGTGGTGGCATCAGTCGGTGGTGAATTCCCATGGTTTCCCTTAAACCTCTCGCTTCTTCCCGTGATTTGATTTCCTTCATTTTCCTGCTCGCCTTTCCACTATGACCTTCTTCCCTTGACGGGGCTGCTTTATCCTGATGACATGATATCAATCCCCTTTCTTTTTCACTCCATATGGCGGCATTGCATTTGTCCTTCTGTTTTATTCGCGGTCAGACTGGCAGCTCTGATTTATGCGATGGCTGGACGTTCACCTGGCGTACTGGGGTCTTTCCCCTGTCTCATTCAATTGCTATCTATTTCTTGCATGTTTTCTCTGGCTCTTCCCAGGTGTCTTTGCATTTCATGGACATACCGGCGTGTGTTCCGGGCTCCCTTTGTACTCGGCGGCTGTGTGTTCCCTTTCTACTTTTTTTTTGGCATCCGGACTTCCATTATACGGTCCGCTGTGTCTTGAAGACCGCAGGTGTTCATTATGGATTAATGTACGTTAAGATCTCCCTACCCTGATACCACAAGCCGAAAAGGGTCTTATTCGAAATCAGTTTCCTCACAGCCGCCGTTTACATAGACGCCCTGTCCTGCAATGTTCCTGGTCCGGGAGATGCCCATCATGTAATTATCTCGTGCACTTCGTTGTATTTTCGCTTAGTCGTGCTGCTGCTTAGTCGTCACCCTCGTCTGAAGCGATTTCGATCTGATCTTACCTCCCCCTCATCTGCCCACTCACATCGCCACATTTCTGCTTTTTTGCACATTCGCTGACCCGATGATTCAGTAGATGAGGACTTTCCACCTCTTGGGGACCAATCCAAGGATCGACGACCTGTTGACAGCTTTGGGTTTTTGAAGTCTCAGTTACCTGTCGAGTCGGCCGCTCGTGCTGGGACTCCGACCTTGCCACCTGGACTACCTTTACCTCACGCTCATCCCTCGTCTTCTGTCTTCCAGGAACACAGTTCCTCTAAACCTTCGACTCCTGCCCCAATTCTCCCACCTGGCTTGACGCCAAACATTTCGCGACTCAACAGCCCATCGCAGAGCCGTATTGACAGCCCCTCTCGTCTTTTGAGTCCCGAACTCACCGTGGGCGGACCCTTAACATCAAGCCGCGTGAAGGACGCTTCTCAAATCTCCTTTGGATCGCCCGTACAAAAGTCCGCGAGCAAGGCTCGTAATCCACGCAAAAGCGAGTTCAACATTGGAGCCGATTTCAAAGATTCCCCTGCAAAGGCTGCAAATCAGCCGCAGTCGAGCTCTGTCACTGCGAAAGGCAGCCCACTCGACTTTAGCGCCTCGCTACCCACGTCCAGCAAGGCTGAGCAGGTACCACCTCCTAGCTCTGTTTCCGCAGTCGGGTCGCGGCCCGATACCCCGCAAACCATAGCATCTCGCCTATCTGACTCGCCTGCCCCTCGACAGCCTCGTATTCTGCGTGTGGTAGAAACCCCTAAGACAGAATCCCCTCCCATTGTCACTGCACCCTCTGTGCCCGCGTATGTTGTTGCAGGTACCAAGTCCCGCTCTAGCAGACAGAGCATCTCGTCAACCAGTATCCCCGATACTCCTGCTGATATGGGATGGGAAGCTGATACTTATCCTTCCACGTCTGCTTCTCGTGCGAATTCCCCTCCTGCTTCTTCTCGTATCGGCTCCGCGCCTGTTCGCTCTATGACCAAGAGCCAGGTCAAGAAGGAACGGAAGCAGAAGGCTAGGGAGGCCGAGGCTAAAAAGGTCGAAATTGCAGCGGTGAATGATGAGCCTGTTCAAGCCCCTATTATGGGGCGAAAACGCAAGACCAAGAAGGCCCCCACTGCCACTGTGAGCACAGCCGATACACCCGCTGCAGGTGGTCCCGAAAAAGCGAGCCCTGTGAAACCAGCCGAGGCTTCTCCTGTTAAGGCCGAACCCAAGGTGGATACTACCACAAAGAAAACGAAAGCTAAGGAGACCAAGCCTGTCAGAGAGCCTACTCCTCCCCCTGTTGAAGAGCCGCCTGCTCAGAAGGAAACCCCCGTAGAGCCATGGCGTTCAAACAATACAGTTGGTCAGTTGGTCAAGGATTCCGAGGCCCTTGGAAAGGCAATCAAAGATCTGTTCGTGGAACGAACCAAGCCTCTTCATGAGTTGCTCGCTGAGATGCACAAGTCCGGCGAACTTGACCTGAACAAAAGTTCCCTCTTCAACCCTAGCAACCTTAGCCAGCGCACCGACATGAAATGCACTGCAGAGGACTACGATTATCTCCAGTGTCCCAATGAGTTGACCGAGGAGGATCGGAAAACTCTACTTCGTGGCGAGCCCGTTCGAATTGGCGATGATTTCCTGAAGACTCGATGCCTCATCACGCCCCGCGGCTGTGTCCTCCGCCATCTCGAGCCAGAAGAGGAGGAGCGATACCTGGAGCTGGAGAAGAACATGGCCGGTATCTCCGATCCTTTCATGATTGGAGATGACGCGAGCAACCCTAGTGGTGGGCTGGAAGCACTCTTTGCGAACCCGGAAAAGTTCAACATCTGCTGGGTCGACGACATGCCCACTCGCCTGGGTGCCACGTCCCCGTCCTCTTCTCTCGAGGCGGCTGAATCCGTGATCCCACCTAACGTCCTCTCGGCCATGGAGGCAGACAGCACCCGCAACCATGACTGGGCCGTCGCCAACTCGGCAGAATTTCTCAACACCACCCCTGCTGCCGTGCGCTCCTTCGCCGCAGTTACCGCGCAGCACATGCTGGGCAATCCGGGCATGGTCGGTACCAACCCGACCCTCGACGACGTTGCCGGCTTGACCAACGAGGAACTGAAGGAGCTCTCTGGTCGTTCTCAGAAGGACCTCGAGCTCACCCGGAAAGAAATGGATTCGCTGGACAAAAAGTTCGCCGCTCTGCTTAGACGCAACAAGAAGCTTCAGCAGCAGGCATTGAACTTTGCTGCTGGGTCGGAGGTGTAATCGACTCTATCTCAGATCGGAGCTCTCAGTTCCCTTCGCAATTGCAGATTCTTGGGCAAACTTGAAATTTCTGTGCGTGTACATATGGGTTTGCATGATACCCTGGATGGTGGTATTTCATGGCGTTCTAGTCCATTCCGTATGATTATTCTATCTTAGCCTGAATGAGTCATTGTATCATATTTGTTACATTTGTCTACGTAGGTCCTAGTGATCTAATTTCCAATACTCCATGACACGCACCTTGTAGGCCCATCCTGAATAGTACACTTGGCACGCAATGAGCAAACAAACTCTCATCCTTAAGAGACCCCTTGGCGCTAAGTGAATATCGAAATATTCCCGAAATTTATTATTATGGTTCTTGGATGTGATATATACTGCACCTAAGTCTGCCCGCCATGGCGATCTGAAACCGGAAATTAGAGAGCGAGGGACGAAGCGAGGTCATTAAACTGTAGCTCTTGTAAATGAGAAATAGATCTGAATTCCGTTCATCTAACATAGCCAAAACGTCAATATCGACAGGTCAGTAAGGGGATGTGCCAAGGGATCAATCACCAACTCCGCCAGGGCTAGATTTCTAGACTTCCACATTCCTCTAACCCGTGCATTTTAATCAAGACCAGACAGACATTTAATGAGGGCTCATTCCTCCGAAAGGATTCGACACTAGTCCATTCTTGGTATCACACGATGCCTATATGGGGATTCGGTTTCAAGGTGATTATGATTTCTGTTATTTAGGTCTCTTTCTACTTTCGGCCTAGATACAATAGACATCCAGGCTGATATTCGACTCTACTGTCGCTAACCGATCCCTTTCTTCCCGGATTGGCATGTATAAAGCATGCATTACTCACTGAGTATACTACTTCCTGTCAGTCTTGTTGGTCTTTTGTCCTTTCCTTACGCTCATCTTACATCATTGCCCCCCCTGGGTGCTGTATTCATTCGTCTACTTGTTCACATTCAGCGTAACATATACAACGATGTTTCAACTGCTTTCTGTCATAGCAGCTGTGCTTACCCTAGGCTCAACTGTCATATCGACCGGCCTACTAGTACCACTATACGCCTGGCCCGGCATAGACGCGTGGAATACCATCTACGACTCAATCGCAGCCCATCCATCAATCCCATTCTACCTGATCATCAACCCATCCACGGGCCCCGGTAACACCGAGTATCCAGAAGACGTCTTCATAACCGCCATCGCTAAGCTAAACAGCTATTCCAACGCTAAAGTACTGGGCTACACCTACACGAAACAAGGTACGCGAGCAAGCTCCGAAGTCGAAAAGGACATCGCTACCTACGCCAAATGGGCCACATACGCAGGGCAGAATATCCGTCTCTCCGGCATCTTCTTCGACGAGGCACCGAACGGCGAAGATCCGAGCAAGCTCGCCTATTTCCAGAACCTCTCTCGGAAATCTAAAAGCAGCAACTTGAGTATCGTTGTCTCCAACCCTGGTGTCAAGCTCGTGGCTGATGTTGCGGAGTGGTTCGCTGCGGCAGACTTTATTGTCGAGTATGAGAATACTTATGCTAATTGGGTAGCTCGGGCTCCGGATGAACACTTCTCGACGTCTGATCACTATGGAAAGGATGCCATTATCTTGAATCAGACGCCTGAGGGTGCCGATATTGATAATGTTGTTCGGTTGGCGAAGGATATGGGGCTCGGTGCTATTTATCTGGCTTCCGATGATAATTATATGAGTCTCACGACTGTGCCTAAAGTTGCTGTTGCTGTCGCGCAAAGCCAGAATGCTAGGCGCATTGTGTGATCTCGTGTCGATACTCCTACTTCTTCCCAAAGAGAGTGACTGTCCCTCATGCTACGAAGCTATCTAGGTCTCCCTCTGATAGTGCGCATTGCTCGTCTCTGAGCTCGCCAGCCTCCTTCGTGTCCGCAATGTGCCGGCATACCTTCGATGCCGCATGCCCCGCTTCGTCCGCCCTATCTGAGGTTACATTGCATAGCCCCAGGCGTCGCAGAATGGCTCGGTTGCTCCCAGAGACACAATATTGGCCAGATACTTAGATCACAGAAACAGAAATATTGAGTGTATTCTAGAAACCCAGGCTGGCTCTCGTATTAAAACACTCTAACGCCCCTAAGGTCGTATGTAATATTTTGTGAGTGACAAGCTCAATCTAGACCATTAATCCCATCTTTGTACGGCCGCAGGTCATACTCATCAGGATAAGTTTCCAAGATGCGCTTGAGCTCCGCCATCTGCTCCCTCTGCTCCTCGGTAATCTCCTCATAAACGTCCGTAAAAGCGTCTCTAAGCGAGGGCTTCTTCTCCTGTTCCGCCTCGCCAAACTCCTTTAGCACCGCCTTCCGCATCTCATCCCGCGTCTCCTTCTCCTGTTCCTCACTCCAAATCCCCTGGTTTTCCAGCCACTTCCGCAGTCGAATAATAGGATTGTCACGACGTTTCCAGTCCTCAACTTCAACACGGGCGCGGTACGCAAAGCTGTCGTCGCTGGTACTGTGGTGCGAGACACGGTAGCTCATGGCTTCGATCAGCACAGGCCGTCCGCCCTCACTTAGGGCAAGTCGACGCGCCTCTTTCATTGCTTCGTTTACGGCAAAGACGTCGTTGCCGTCTACGCGGATCGTATCGATACCGTACCCCACGCCGCGGCTGGCGATTCCATCTCCCCGGTACTGCTCTAGCGTTGGCGTTGAGATTGCGTAGCCGTTGTTTCGGCATATGAAAACAACCGGACAGGACCGTGTCGCGGCGATGTTCAGCGCGGCGTGGAAGTCACCTTCGCTAGCGGCTCCTTCGCCGAAATAGCAGGCTACAATGCGCGGGTCCCGGTTTGGGTTTTGGAGGTCTTGGAGTTTCAGGGCGTAGGCTGCGCCGGCGGCTTGGGGAATTTGTGTGGCTAATGGGGATGAAATTGTGTGCTGTTGGGTGCGTGAGGTTAGGAAAAGTACATTGCTGTAGCAAGGAGGCAGTGGCACTGACCATGCGAGGATAATTTTGTCCATAGTGGACTGGCATATTTCGACCACGGCCTGTATCGTTGGCATTGGCGAAGAGTTGGCTCATGAAGTTCTTCAATGTGAATCCACGCTGCTGGAATACACCGGCTTCGCGGTATTGTGCAAAGACCACATCATCTGGTGTCAATGCCGCGGCGGATCCAACTGTGATACCTTCTTCGCCGGCGGAAACCTATAGGTAGCAGGTCAGATGAGCCATGTTCTTCTTCTTCTTCTCGCTCTTTACATATTGGACATACCATGTAGAAACTTAAGCGACCCTGCCGTTGTGCCTCAAACATGACCACGTCCATAACGCTTACTGCAAGCCGAAAGTCAGGTACTTGATATTGCATCAAGCGTTGGGTAACTGACCAGACAACATATTTTTGTACCACGTCAAGACCTCCTCATTCGTAACGTCGGGCGCCGGTCTCGTCTTATCAACCTGGTGACCGTCTGAGTCCATCACTCGGTAGGTAGGGATAGCGGGCAGATCCGAGGCTTTGAGGAAGGCCATCTCCGATGTAAACTTGCTGT